TTTGAAAGCCAGCGATAAGATAGTGATAAAAACGAACACGCAGAAATTGCTGATGGTAATAATAATACTTACCATTTGCCGGAATTGAGAGGAATTAGAATTAATGGATGTCGAAACAATACATTTTTAGACAAACGTTGACTCATCGGCCAATACGAATTACATATTTGATTTGACTTTCTCTTCCCGAAATTGAATTAAAATAATTAAAAAACAAAACGCTTTAGATCCATTCGCGTTGATTTATCCTTTTGCTATTTTTCTTATTTACATCTGTTATACTTTTGTATTTATTTCTGATTCTGACAGCGGCATGTGTGGCCGACGTCAAGAAGGTTGTAACTGCAAATGCAAGTCTGTTCATATTTACACTTTGCACTACTATATATGTGTGTATGTATGTTATATACATACCTACTAACTATGTTCCAAAATGTCTTCTCTGAGAAAGTTTGGAACCTAGCTTAAAATAGGACAAATATGTAAATTAAACGAAAGAGAAAGAGATAGAAAAGAAAGAGAGACAGAGAGAGAGAGAGAGAGAAAATATATACAGTCACAAAAATACTAATTATACTAACGTATAATGAATACAGTAATATATATTATAATGATTTAACACATGTAATTATAAAAATTTTCATCGAGGATAACAATAATAACTATTTATTATTATAATTTGTCACTGATAAAAATTTGTCTCTGACTTTTTATACAAATTAGAACAATTTTTTAGATTACATCTTAATTTTTTTTAGAATTTTTCATATATAGTAAATTTTTGAATATTCTAACCCATACAGCACAGAATTTGCAGCAATATCGCTGCAAAATCTTTGCAATATTGCTGCAATGTACAACTATGGAGCAAACGCTACCAATGCTGTTCTTGGAGCTAATAGCGCGAGAGCGTTATTGCAAGCTCTATGAACGTAGCGTTGGTAGTGTTTAACCAGAGATATATTCGTCAAAGTTAATGTAGGAGATTCTGTTTTCAATCAACCAACCAAACTTTTTCCTATAATTAAAATTTTTAAGATTTTGTAAAGTATTTGTAACGTAAATTTTTTACTTTCTCGTAATAAATAACAAATGCAATCTCAATTGCAATCTCTATGATTGCCGAAGTAAACAATGTAGAAACTAGATCAAAAAATTAATAGTTACACTAAGTAAATTAATAGTTACACTAAGTAAATTAATTAGGAAGAACCCTTGAGCATCCGTTGTTGATTTTAGAAGAAGTATATCTACATCTAGTAAGGATCCTAAGGGATGCTGCATCTGCAGGGGAGCTTTCAGAAATTATACCTAGGTATGTCTGGAGTGCTCTAGTGGCGCTTCAGACGTTCAGAAACTTCAGATGTAATTTACCCGCTTTCAAAAGCGTTCAGAAACGATTTAGATCACTCTAAGATCACTCTATCGTCAATCTACTTTTCAGTCGGGTAAAAGTCGCTCCGCATGCGCAATGCGCAATTTTGCACTATAAAATCGTGTGTCTGATGAAACTAAGGTTAAGTTACATAATTATTGAAAGGTTTTTAGGTCACTACATTTAATATACAATTGATTTCTAGAACAAATACGATCTCTTTTTCGTGATTGTAACAGCAATTAATCTTACTTTCATGCAATTTCTCAATCTTCACCGATGTTTATCAGTCACCCAATTGTATCACCCAAGGCGTTCAGAAACTTCATTTAGACGTCTCACTCTGGGGTGCACCCAAAGTTTACCTCACCTTACCAATACCAAGATTTTTTTCCTGAACGGAAAATTTCCAGCGGAATACCCTGCCGCAATAGTAATTTTTTTTCCGTACACGGGAATTAAAAATTGCCAGTAACAAGATACCTTTGACTTTCACATTTATAATGAAATCAAATATAAAAGTTGCACTTTGCAGAAACTTTGAAAAGTTAATGATACACAAGCAAGAATCACTCCAGCCTAGTGGCGAGCCATCAGCAGAGATTAAAATTGAGATTGCATTCATTTTGATAAAATTTGAAATTCACACATTATGTACATACGTTACTTTACGAAGTTCTAAAAGAGAAAAGTTTGAGAACTCGAGAACAGAATCCCCTTAAACATTAACCTAACTTTGTTGTTTGACGAATTTAAACGCTACCAACGCTACGCTAGGGTCGTTCACGGATCTATAAAAGATCTGGAAACATAATAAAAAGCACAGGCAATAGGAACAGGAATAATAGATTTCAACTTATCAGAAACTATGAATAATGAAACGGATGCTTTCTGATAGGTTGAAATTTTTTATTCCCTGTTCCTATTGCTTGTGCTTTTGTATTTCCAGCTTAAACGCTAACGCTACCAATACACTACCTTGGAAGAAATAGCGTTGATAGTGCGTAGTTGTGACATAACACGCTATCATTAGTGATGTCATGATCGTGTCAAGGCTTAAACACAATAGGCACAACGAACAGGGAATAACGAGCTATCCAATCAGAACTCTGGGATATAATATCGAATTTACATACCAGAGCTGTGATTAGACGGCTTATTATTCTCTGTTGTCTGTGTCTATTGTATTTAAACCTTTAACGCTATCTGCAGCTGCGCGAACAGTTTGTAGCGCTAAATAGCGCGAATAGCGTCTTGCCACATGAACGCACCTAAACGTGCTTCAGGGAATACTGCTTGTATTCATAGTCAGGCCTTATATTTGAGGCTTTCTTAAATTTATCTTCAGATACTCTACGAATTATTTCATTGGCTACTGAGCATCTAAAGATAAATTTAAGGATGTCTTATATCTTAAGGTCTGACTATGGATATGGGCATTAAGATACAATTACAATAGAAGGAATAAGGAATTATATTAAAATACTCGTATTCATAATCAGGCCTTATATTTAATTTTCCTTCCTTAAATTTATCTTTTACTCTTTTATTAGATACTCTACGAATTATTTCATTGCTTGCTGAGCAAGATCTAAAGATAAATTTAAGGAAGCCTTAAGTACAAGGCTTGACTAAAAATATATCGGGCATTAGATCTGTATTTTGAATACGCTTACAACGATGTTAGCGCATTAACGTGCTATAATTTACGTTACGTATACTATAAATACTATATTTCAGAGATAAAAATGCGTTCTAAATATGGACCTTAATTTATATAATTTCTGGAAAAAAAAATTTAATTTAAACTTATTCAGATTTCATAAGATTTTATCAAAAATAATAAATAGAATTAAAATCTTAAAAAATCTTAAATATTAATTCAGAATTAATTATGAAGAAAATTTCAAAAAATGATATTGATTTGATTTTCTCATTATTTCTGAAAATTAAGTGTTCAAAATCTGAGACATTTTTTTAAAAAGTTATAAAATTAATCAAAAATTTAAAATAATTCTGAGAAAAAAATTTCATTATGGAATGCATAAAATTTGTAGGCTACAATTTAATGCCACGTATGAAGTATATATAATTAGCTTTGTTTGTATTTATTTCCAATAACATTTTAAATATTACTTAATTAATATAGATTCTAGTGTGTACTTGTACATTGATTTTCAGCTGAAAGTATTCGTTCTTGTCTAATTAATGCAATAGCATGGAAAAGATTCGTAAAATTATGAACATTATCTTACGAGGTTTGGTACAAACCTAGAAAAAATCGAGATAATCATTCTCAGGTCAGGTTATTTCTGTTGCCATCAATTGCCACATTGTGGTCATGTATATAATTTTATCTCGCTTAAAATTCAATACATTTCGTTCCAGTATTTTAAAAATTGATGTTTAAATAAAGACGAGTTTTCTTTTTAATACAAATATTTCCATTTATGTGAAATGTTTTATCAAAAACTTCGCGCATCAATCAAACTCAAAAACATCGTAGGTTATGTCAATGAGTTCAATCACTTGAGCACATCAAAACAATGTACGTGTGAAAATGAACAAATGAGCATTCCGTATTTTACCGCATTTAAGTGTCTTTTTTTTTTACTTGGTTTTAGAAAGTAAAATTTTACTTTTTATCGCTGTGTGTGATGGAAAAGTAATAAAAAAAGTAAATAAAAAAAAAGTTGGCATTTTTTAGATAATGAATGGAAATCGATTCTAATAAAAATTTTGTAGAAAAACCATACATTTGTCAACATTTGCTACATATTGTGCCTACATGAAAAAGTGTCACAATTTTGATAAATGACGAAATTTACATAAATGTATAGCAAAGTGACACTGTTCGAATTTTGAAAACTTGTGACATTATTTTAAAAAATATATTATAATTAAAAATATAACATGAAAAGAAAGTGAAGTTATGTGTAATTTTAATTTAATTATTGATTGATTAATCGATCTAGCAGATTAATTGCTCGCTCTTTATAATTTTATATTTTGTAATAATTTATTTCAGTACTTTGATATTTAAATAATGACAAGTTTTCTTTTTAATTCGAATATTTCCATTTATATAAAATGTTTGTCCTTTAAAATTCACTTTTAAAATTCAGAAAGAATTTTGAAAAGTCCTACTGAAAAAGTTGTTAACTTTGAGATATGTTTCTACGAATTTTTTTATCAATATATTGCAAAGAATTTAATACTAACAAACATTTATATTATATATTGTTAAATTATTATACAAAAACAAATTTAATATATTTATTGTGCAGCCAAGAATGAACAATTGCAGCATAAATTGCAGATCTTGGTCAGCAATTTTTGCATGGAAAAACTCCCGAGGAGCGCCAATGTCTTCGGAGACATCTCGGGCAGGAAATTTGAGCGAATTCCAATGAACGAGCGCGAGCAGAAAGAGGAGAAATTTCAAGATACAGAAGCGCACGTTCCACGTCGACTGAAACCCAGCTTGGGCCAGTACGCTAAAATGATCAAGTCACATATATCTAAGAACGATTTGAATTCTGCTTTGCAGGTCCTCGACTTAATGAAAGAGAACCGAGACAAACCCACAATGTACTTGTACAATCTCTTATTGTATGGGTTAGCCAAACAAGGTGACATAAAGCAATGCTTCAGTCTGTATAATAAGGCAAAAAAGTATGGATTACAGCCGAACGCGGCGACCTACACTAGTCTGTTTAACGCGTGTGCTTTATCTGATAACAGCGAAGTAGCTCTGAAGCATCTCAACAGGCTGCGAAAATCACTTTATGAGTGGCAGTTTCTGCTGAACGATGCGCATTATAATGTCATGGTAAAGGCGTACAGTTGGCACGGTCAGATCGTTAAGGCCTTTCAACTGGCGGACGAGATGAGAGACAGACGTAT